TCTTTCGTGAGAAAATATGAACAATGAGATATGAAACATAGAAATGCTATCAGTTTTACATGATTATGAGGAAGTTTCATAGTATAACAGAATGATTTAAATCTCTCCATTTTAATGAATTGCATTTGATTGAATAGGAATAAAAAAATGAGTAATTGATGATGATTGAAAAATAGAAACAAATCTCATTAAAGTATTTGAGTTATCATATCGGATGGACAGGACATCATTTCAAATTATTTTCAATTGTGGTTTTCGCGTTATGTTAAAGGTACGATACAAAGTATGCAGTGATAAGTTCAATATTATTTTATTTTTTAATATAAAAATTTTTCGCTTATTTACTTCTTTAGGAGTTTGACAATAAACACATAGGGATGTAATAGAGAGAAAAACGAATTGCAATAAATACTGTTAAAAAGTTTAGTTCAACAACGTGAAAATAAACAGATAATGTCACCGAAACAAGAAAATATATTTCGCATATTTGGTAAAAATGGATTGAGATTTGTTTGTTTGCAGTTTCGAATATGAAACATTAAGGACAGGAATAGAGCGCAATGTTCATCATCAAGTCTACTAAATTGTTTAGTAAAACGTTTGAACCAAGAATTCGATTGTTCGGCTGATTGTGTGTTAAACTGTTTAACGATTTTATTCTCATTTGGATTGAGATATTGCCGACACCACGTATCGGTGTGATTACGATAATGATACGCATCAATCGCAAATGATGAATGGTAGAGAAATCTTGAGGCTGGTGTTTGACGAAAAAAATTTGGATAATAATCAATGATATGTTTGACAACATGACAACAATCGTCATACACTATTGTTTTGGGTAACCATGAGTCTGCCATTTCACCAGATTGAGCTGTATCCGTATTTGTACTTGAAATACGGATAATATCACAAAGACCAGCCAAAATTTCTTTAACAGTTTCAGATCGCATTATTTCATGAACAGCAAGTAGAACGTTGCAGTTAAATACATAAATGATAATCCCAAATGTTCGATGACAAGTAGAAATATAAGCTTCTGGTTTTGATTTCTTTGTATTGCATGACAATTTATGATAAGGCATACTTCGTTTACCATTACGAAGTAATATATAATCGTCATCATCTTCTTCGACCAGATTTGTTTGTTGTGAATGACTTGTATGTATATGATGGGCACAATATTCCTGGCCACTTAGAGGACTTCGATCACATCCTATCATAAAATGTTCGTATTCTGGTGTTTCAATCGTCTATAGCAA